TTAATACATTATATATATTTGATATATATAACGATATTAATATGATATTAATATAATATTTTAATATTAATATTAGTACATAATATATTAATATTTAATATAATGCAATAACAATGTAATATGTTATAATACAATAATACATAAAAAGTGTAAAGTATTTTAATATATTATATGTAATATATTATATATATTTTAATATTACTATATATTATTTTAATACATTATATATAATAAATATACAATAAGCATAAAATATTTTAGTTGAAACTCCTTTGCCAACGAATGATTTAAATGAGTGAGTAAAAAATTTTTATATTGCAGAGAATAATATAAAGTTCACTTGAGAGAATTGGAATTTCATAGTTCTTCATTTGTAGTTCATCCGTGATGACTAAACAGTATCGCGTGCGTGTGGTAAAATCATACAGCGGATTTGGTTGAGATGAACGTATCGATAGATTCGAGATTAATGACCTATCGCTTGTGTCGTTTAATACCTCAACCTCTATAGCCGATGATTTCATACGCGGTCACGTACAAACGTTCGGACACGTTATCTGTCAATTCTCGTACAATAATTAGGAAAATCGTTCTTCCACGGGAGAGAATGGTAAAATAATTAGCATCGAGTATTTCGAAATACGTATGTGAAATAATAGAAATGAGGCAACTTTCTCGGGAGGTGTTTGATTACAAATCACGATGTTAGGATCATTATTTTTTAATATTGAAAGAGTTAACACAATGGTAAGGGATAGTTCTTCAGATTCACCTTTATTATATTTGAAAAAATATACTGTGAATTTCAATCGATATTAACCTTGCTAATTTTAATAATTAACAAAATTTTGATAAGTTTATTTGGAAGAACAAACAGGAAGAATTAAAAGAAACTTCAATATTAAATAGTATATTTGGGTTACAGATACCTGTCATCATTAGATTCCAAAAATCCTGGATATTTCGTTTCAAAATCACTGTCGTATGTTCTGCGTAACAAAAATTTCCAACAAAATTCATTTAAATGAAAAATGACGCGAGTTAAGGGAGCGATATGAAATGTGAAATTTAACTCGAGAAATTGCGCGCGCCGTTACGAACTTTTTCGCATCTCGTTCAAACGCGAGATACATTCATGCGTCAGAGGAAAATGACAGAAATGGCGTTACAATTAATCATTAACATCTCCAACCGGATTATCCTCGGAAAAAATGGTTTTTTCTGTCCTGTCTTTTTATTTCCCCGCAAATTTTCTTTCTCCATTTTTTTCATTTCCATTCTACTTCGCAAGACTTGCTCTAATAACGCGCCAGGCTCGAGCGCGTTCAGCGAAACGATGTTTCTCGTAGGATCAAGGAGAATATCGGTTCTATTTCGTCGAATCGTGAACGGAGGGAGCTTCTCGTTTTCATATCGGGGCCAGGTACAAGTGGAACGCTCCCCCGGGACACGAAGCGCGGCGTCGTCGTTTCTTTTCGGATTTAAATTAGATTCGAGACCGAGCCGCGGATCCCTCAGACGCGTCAAAGACACGCTCGCTTAGCGTACTTTCATCTGCATATTTTTCATTTCGCTATTTTGCCTCCGGCCCCTTTTCGCCCACCTCTGACCGCGACCCCTCTCTAAACCGGGCGTCGCTCGAAAGAGCCGCTTTTATTGTTCCTAAGGAAGCTGTTCTTTCCCCCTGCCCACCCCCTTTTTTTCGAGGATTATTGCGTCGAGGGATCCTCGCTCGTTACAACAGTTTTTTCGTACTTTCAAACGACGACACGTGCGAAAATGCAATTAAGCGTGCACAGGGTACTCTGTGAACGGAATATTTTTTCCTGGGGGTATAAATATACGGTGGATGAAAAAAAAAAAAAAAATACTGATGGAACGATTTGTTAACAAACTCTGCATAAAAGTATGTATACAATAGCAATTTCCAATAATTCGAGAGTCGACAAAATATCGACACACTTGTAATTTCGGTGATTAACCCGCATTTAATGGCGAAATGTTATATGTTCGAAAGGTTACGAAATATTTTTTTGTTTTTTCGTTTGAATGTCATTGAATGATATTCGCGTCAGCATAAGAGATGATTGTCTTTAAAAATATTTCATGTTTCATTAAAAATATTTTATATTCTGTTCAAATACACAGAACCATTAAAAATATTTTAAAAATATTGACCATTAAAAATATTTTAAAAATATTGACCATTAAAAATATTTTAAAAATATTGACCATTAAAAATATTTTAAAAATTTTGACCATTAAAAATATTTTATATTTTGTTCAAATATACAGTAGAACAGCCCTCTCATGTCTCAGCACCTTCTTGATTCTCAAATTTTTTATTACACTTGTATTATATTATTTATATTATACTTCTATTATTATTGTAAATTGCTCGTTATTAAAAATTGCTACTGTGTTTGACGAACTATTTATGGAAACAGATTTTGCTAATATATCACTTGTTTTCACAAAGATGTCGCCAACAAACTGGGTGTGCCAATACTTTCTTCACCCACTGTATTCATAGCTTTTTTTAGACTCGAGTCTAAAACGATGAAAGATATTACATTAACAATAAGATAATTGCATGAAATCTGAAAATATGTCATTTGCGACGTAAAAAAAAAAAAAAAGGAAAAAGAATGCATGAAAAATTTTTAACTAAAAAATAAAGAGCATTTTTAGAATTTGAAGTTAAATCATCGATTAATAGATCGCGGATCTTTTGGCGGATCGCGAAAATTATATAAAATTATATAAAATAGTAGGATACTAATTACAATATTTAACAGGTTACTACAAAACTACATTTTGTGCTGATGCCATAATAAATGGAAATATGCTACACCATAACGTTTAATCTTCGCAGAATATTTTTATCTGGCGTTTTTATCTAAACATGCATGAAAATGCATCAGGTGAATGTCAGAAGCGAGCGTTTGAATTCAGTGTTAATGGAATGCAAAAATTAATGCCACACCTGTTGACTTTATGGAACTCTGCCATTAACTCGAAACACACTAACCGATCCTTCCGCTAATCGTACCATTAGATTCAATATAGTGGCTTTACTGAATATAAATACTTTTCCTTCATTAGATAACAGATATCATTTCTTCATTATCAACGAGATGAATTGTTTCACATTTTCTCGCTCTATTTTCATTCCTATTTTGAATAAAATATCCATTGAGGTGATGATCGAGAAACATATGGGAAGTGATCATCTTAGTGATCAAGTTTAGAGTATTGGAGTTTATCGTCATATTAAAATTTAATGAATTTAATATTATTCTGTACCTAAGATTTCTAACAATAAGAGATTCAGTAATAAAACTGAATCAAATTGAAAATTCTGAAACTTGAGTAATTGGTAATACCCAAACAGTTATAGTTAATAGTAGTTAAAATGTTGAACTTAGAATGAAAGTTAAATGAATACTAAAAACAATATTAATAGAAAGTAGAAAGAAAGAAGAAAGAACAAAGTAGAAAGGGAATTAAATTAAAGTTAAAGTAAAATGTTAAAGTGAGTTAAAGTCGGGAAGAAATATATTTTCGATTCGATTGAAACTCGTGCAACAAACGAGTGGAAAATACGATACTTTCATAAGAAATCAATGAAACGAATAAACGTGTCTAAATACATTTATTAACGCAGCCTTGCTCAAAGGGTAGATAATATAATTATAAAAGGACTGCAAGTCAGACACGTTTTCTCGAAATTGCACCATTTTTCAAAAGTTACACTCCCGCCGACAGACAACGAAACAAAAGGTCAACTTTCGCGAGCAATTTTATCCAGGAATTATGAATGCTTTTTAAAAGCAACAGTTTTCAAACTGCTGCGGAACGTGTTTCGTTGAGTCGATCTCGCTCGCACGGTACATTAATTAAAAAAAAAGGGGTGCAGGCTAAAAAGAGAAGGAAGAAAAAGAACGTGGAATACCTCGGCTGATCGATATTACTGCAACGACGCAAAACTCAGCGCACATGCATGTGCGAGGGAAAAAACGAACGGAAATACCGTGTGCAAACTCGCGAAAATTAGACGAACGAATTCTCCTTCAGTGATTACCACGATCATTGTTATCTATTTATCAGTATTTTCAATGGTACTTGCTTTCTCGTTCGAAAATCATTTTTTCGCGATTTTTTGTTGATGATAACATGGTGAATATTTCAATTTTACTTTCATTAGGTAAAAGAAAAAGTTAAGTAAGATATTTCTAAAATTTACACTGCTATGTTTAATTTCAAGATCTTTCGAGATAGCAATAATTATCGTGGATATTTCGAAGCAAATATGGAGCATGCTTTATTAATGAATTTATATGGTTACATAGTAATGAAGTATGGTAAATAATGTAAATGAGTTGACATATCGAATATTATTATTTGATATACATATAATGCTATGTATACTCTGTTAATGAATTTATTTGATTTTATATAGGAATGAAATAATAAATGTATTGTACTACAAAATTGGAATAATATAAATGACTTGACAGAAATCACACATGTTATTGTTCGATATATATACAACACTGCAGATATTTTATTAACAAATTTATTTGACTGCGTCGTAATGAAGTGATGAATGAATTAATATAAAAACGCATTGATATATAAATGTTTAAAACAATGTAAATGATTTGGCAGAGTAAATATTATCATTTGATGTGCAGGGTGATTCATGCAACTTGCACGCCTGAAATAACTTTTAAATCATGCGTCCAATGAAAAATTGTTTACCTACAAAAGCTGGGTGGCTTTGAGGGAGGCAAAATATGGCCAAACAATGTTTCATTGGACGCATAATTTAAAAGTTACGGTTTAGGTAGGCAAATTACGTGAATCATCCTGTACAAGTTTCTCATTAAAATGATCTTTATTATATGACTGTATATACGTATGTACATGTACGTATGTCATGATACTCAATGGGAGAAGCAACAAGTGACGAAGGTGAAACGTAATTGATCTTGCAGGGTTCAAGAAACAGATGGCTCCTTCTTCGAAAGTTTCACCGCGTTATCTTGGCGACAGGAAAATCGAAGGCTCGTGGTGCTTCAAGAAGTGGAGGCCAGGGCCAAGGAACCGCCACCCCCGTCCAGAGACACCAGCTTGACGCAATCCTATCGTTTTACCAAAAAGGAGGTAAGCTTCTACCATCAAATAATTTTATTACATTACTTTATAATAATATATATAGAGTGGGACCCACTTCGGCAGCTGATTGTACGCCTAAAAATAATGAAAAAAAAAAGTCATACTATGTCTTATCTGTCTTCGTTTATGAGACATAATGAATTTTATAAACAGAGCAAATTCTAGTAAGCTAGTTTTACCAGGGATGGTAAAATTCGATTTTCATAATAATCATAATTGGGGTGAATAATTGATAAATTTTTAATTGGAGCTGTTTCCCTTGATGGGAAACTAAGTACGTTGATTTTCTGAGCACGCGTTTACACGAAATATTAGAGGAAGTTCCAGTCGATATTAGACTTCGTCTTTGCGGTTTATGCATGATGGAGCTCCGCCGCATTTTAGCCGAGTGGCTAGGCAATTTTTTAAATCAACACTTTGCAAATAAATGGATTGGTCGTGGAGGTCCTATTGCGTGGCCTGCTCGTTCTCCGGATTTGAATCCATTAGATTTTCACTTGTGGGGACATTTAAAATCTATTGTACACGCAACATCGATTGAACATGCTGAAATACTACGAAATAGAATAGAGCAAGGCTTCCGACAAATTCGAGAAACACCAGGAATGATAGAGAGAGTAACCAGATGAATGACAAGACGCATGCAGGCTTGTCTTCAAATGCAAGGTGGTCATTTCGAGCATCTTTTGTAAAAGTAATTAAAACAGAAAATTCATTATCATCTCATAAACGAAGACAGATATGTTTATATGACTTTTTTTCATTATTTTTAGGCGTACAATCAGTTCCCGAAGTGGGTCCCACAAGTTATGAAACATCCTGTATACTGTCGTGTTATACGAACTCGATTAAATTTACCGAGTTATAAATTAATCTCTCGAAATTGGCAGGGAATTATTTTCATTTTTCATTTTGATTTTGAATTATCTTCTACGTTGTTTTTACGCGTGAATATTTATAGGAATTAAATCCCGATAAAATTCTGTAAATAAATGAACGTGAATTTACAAAATCGAATTATATTAAATTCGCCGAAAGTTCGATTGTTTAAACTAACAGGTAGTTTAAGCTTCGAAATAATTTGCCAAAATTTAATTTCCGGAAGTCACGGAATTCCTGCGAGCGATCAGAAGAATTTAAAAAAAGAAAACTGAAGAACCAAAAAGAAAAATAAATGAATCGATCAACCAAACGCAAAGCGAAAAGCTGAAAGACTAAGATTGCCCGATGTTTTAGAGCAGGGTTGCTTTATCCGAAATTTTGAAAGTTTACTAGACGAGTGTCAGTAACGACACGCTGCGCGAGTAAATGCAAATGCTTGCAACCATCCGCTATCATTTAACGCGAGATAGAGTTGTTAACTACTTTCAGTCGGCGTAATGAAAGCAGTTGCGCGTCGAATTTAATCGCACTTTAAACAATAGATTCTCGTGTTTGGAGTTAACCATGCGACGAGGGGAACGAAAACATGTTAACATGTCAAAACACCACCTCGTGTATACAAAATTCAAAGTGTATATTTAAAAATTCAAGTATATTTGGTCACATTTCTTGTGCAAAGCTGTAATTTTCATATTTTCGCTCATTTCTGAGACAAAGGCGGCGCTACAATTTGAAATAGTGTTCTCGTGTGTGCTTTATACGATGAAAAAGAAATTGGTAGAAGATTCTGATAATTGTGAAAAATTGAAGATTAAGTTAACTGAATTACGAGATACGCAATAAAAGAAATTGTTGCGAATAAATTGTTGTAACGGATGAAAACGGAGCGTACGGCGCGTATCCATTTCACGAAATGAAAAGTTCAATTGATCAGTTTTTCTAGTCCGTTGATTTCATTCGTTATTTTTATTCATTTCAATTTTTGTAATTTCATTTTCCGGCCGACGCTAGAACCACCCAGGATAATCAAATTGACCTATTTATCGCTTTTAACTAAATATAGATAATAAAGTTTTATTTCTTTCCTGCATTTCTTTAATAAAAAAAAAAAAAAATCAAATTTCCTCTTGATTTTTTAATTATTTTTCATATCATTCGACTGCTGATATTTATATCATATTCGTATCTTTATCTCCGCTGAACAATGTAAATAGATTTTCACATTTTCTCGAACGTTATTAGACAAATCGAACCTAGATAGAAAATTATTTTGTTTAATAATTGTTATCGATATTTCACCTTGAATATTTTATATATAATCTTACATTTCATTTTCATCTTAAAAATTTTCCACAAACTTGCAATCCAATCGTAAAATAAGTGCTCTATTTTCGGTATTTTCTATATTTTACTATACTGTGTGCATTATTTGCATTCAATTCCTTACAAATGGATAAGAGATTAGCGAATCGTATTGAATTCTCTCTCTGCTTTCGATATTTCATACATTTTTCCATACTGCATTTATTTTCTCTGTACCTGCATTTTCCAATTTCCAATAATCGCGTAAAAATCCGCGTAAGACTCTAATTACAATAAATCCTCTGCTTTCGGTGTTCTGTATATTTTGCCACATTGTTTTTCATTCCCTGTACTCCTCCACCTTTCACTGTTCCATAAATCGATGAAAATCCACAGTCTAATTACAATACGTCCAATAAACATATTTCGCATGTTTTCTGCACATCCGTACCCTTCAATATCTCATTCAATATACATGAAAAAAACTCGCAGTCTGATTAAAATAAATTCCCTACTCTCGCACTTGCGCATCCTCCGCGTTTTTATTATATTACACACCCGCGATTTATAGTGTGATAATTACCAACAAGTGTAATCCAACGATGCTCCCCTTATCACGAAACATAGCGACAACAATCAGGGTCGAGTCTTTATACACTTGCTGCGTGAACGTTCATTAATATCAGTGCCGCAACCATTGTTCGCCTCGTGTTTCTCCCTCCCCCCCCTCCCCCTCACCCCTCGATGACGCATATTTTGTCATCTGTCATTGCGCTCACGATATTTGTAGATTCGCATGCGGCTTGGTAGTTACACCTCCCTTGAAACATTGTGCGTGCCGATCAATCGAAATGACGGACAATCGCTTCAACGATACCGCCAGCTTAACATACATTTGTTTATCCCGCGCAATTTCGTGATTGCCTCTCTCGAGAAATCTCGATATTTCTCGACACGACAATACTCTCAACCACGATAATCCTTTCGATTTTGTTCTTTTATTCTTCTGTTATTCTTTCTTTGCTTTTTATCGTCTAAAATCGACTAAAAGGGAGATATTCTCGTAATCCTTGTAAGAATCGACTTGTTTGGAATGAATTTTTCTTTTAAGGAAACCATGATACATTTTGGTATGCGGTTTCCGCACGACAGAATTGTTCATACTCGAAGAGTATTTACAATTTTTTCTTTTAACGAAATTAATGAAAGTTGTGGAAATTGTATAGCCTTGGGTGAAGCATGTTTTTAAAAACGAGTTCAAATAGCTGACGTGATTCCGGTCTGCCTGGTTGAATTTGAAACTAAAAACCAAAATGCATCTTAATTAAAGTGTAAATATGGCTATCGCATGAACCACGGAAACGGCGAAATTTCGAAAATTAAAAAAGCATGGCAGCATTTTGAATTTTAAATATCGATTTCCCTTGTGCTTTTCATCACTTGTATAAACCAACTTGTATAAAATTTTTCGAGAAAATTATCAACTAGTCATTTCATAATCTATTTTTTAATAATCTAACCTACATTTCATATTTTATATAATATTTATTTCTCCATTTCTTACTTTATTTTTACATATCACTCACAAAAATTTAGTGAGATCAGGAAATGCATTTTGGTAAAATGCAAAGAATCGTATAAATTAATGCAGTTAATGTGCTTGATTTTGTTCAAACGTCGGTCAAAACTGAATTAATTTTCGTTTTAATTGGATTAGATTTGGGCTTCGGTTGGATTATTATATTATGTTACAACAATAGTGGCCAATTATTGCGATCAATGTATTAAATCGTGAATATTATATTATTATATTGGTAATATTGGAATGGGTTCTACGTAAATATTGGCACAAGGAAACTATTGGTTTCTCTATAAAATTTCCAATAGCGTACTTTATAGCAAAAATTGAAACAAACACGAACTTTATTATCGAGTTAAATTCATGAGTGAATATTTTTCTTTCGTTAAGATTATCAAGAAGTAAACGATAAATACAGTATTGTTCACCTCACGCCATGGAAATTACAACCACAATGTCGATTATCGAGCTGAACTGAATTTATTTGACAAATGAAATATTAATTCGGTATGCACGGCCAACCAAACTATCAATACATATTAAAAGTTCATTTATATGCCGTTCAAAGACGTTATCAAATAATTGAAAATCGGAATGGGAAGTGAAAACTCTTTCAATGAATATAAATGAATACCTTTAGAAATTATTTAAATACATATAAATTCTCTTTCGAGATAAATCAGGAATTGAACAAGTTGAAATGCTTTATTTTAATTTTTTCCTTTCTCCATTTTAATTTTTCAACGCCTTTCCAATAAAATCTTCATAACTGTGGCTCATTATTTTATTAGTTTCCAATAAAGCATTTTTTATCAGACTACACGTTCCTCCTTTAATATTAAATCTTCGTAACCATGTAAAAGACATATTTAATATAAAATTTAGTGTAAAACTTATATACTTGGATCTAAAAAAGATTAAATTTAGAAACTTAATATAATTAAATGTAATCAACTCACATACAGCATAAATACTACAATAAATACAATAGCGTGCAAATATTTTTTCGTGTCCACTCTGTCACTCTTTTATTTTTTTACTTTTTATTTTTACTTTACCTTTTCATTGTGAAATAATTCAGAAAGCTTGCGTAGAATTTTGTGGAGTATTCATGAAAGTAATAGCTACTCTTGATATTCTTTTCTAGCATAATCCCAATCATTGTCTTTCACAAAATGGTCCAACGCAATATAGAAGGATTACGACATAATAGATGAACATTTCGTGGACTATTCTACGTGAGGTTCAAACTCAAACACAACTTCGTGGAACGATAAACCTGCGAATCATGTTAGAAATTTCGTTTAAGATAGAATCTGGAATATCCCGTTACAATTCGGAGAACTTTGAGAATAGTATGCGAAACTAAAAATTAATCATATTTGTAATTTCACGTTTCTTACGGATGAAGAATTCCCCGTAAGATACTAAGATTAGGATTACGTTGTTGTGTTTTTTGAAACCATGTTAAGATCCTTCCTCTCGCTCTGAAATTTAAATATCCTTCTCAACTTTTTAAAAGCAAAGACCTTCAAGCGTAAGCTCTTGAAATCTGAACTCTCACCTTTCGAATGTTTCCAACATGAATTTTACTGAACTTTCCACCATTGTGTTAGTTTTCATTGTTAAATATTTTCATTTGATTCGAAATATTTCAAATGTAATCGTACTTCGTTATTACTTTTAACCTCTGAGTTAACAATAAATTTCAATAATTGAACTTTCGTTATTTGCGGTATTAACAAACGCACAAAGTTCGTAAAGCTCTCGGAAAATTTTAAAATTTTACGAAATTTTAATTGCATAAACTTTGATCACATGAATTTTAAAATTTGTATATTATTTATATATATATATATATGAGTCATTATGTAAATTTATTAATATTAACTTAATATTAAATTTTCTATATATATATATTTTTATTTTAAATTATATATATATATATATATATATATATATATATATATTTATATTTATATTTTATATATATTATTTACTATATATATTTATATTTTATATATATATTATTTACTATATAAATTTTAAATCGTGAAAAACGCGATTCATGAAAGGAAATTGGAAGAATTCGATCTCTTTCTGATCTCGTAAAGAGATTCCTGTAATATCACAAGGAGCCTGAATCTTATTTAGATCGTAAGAAAACGATCTAAATAAAATTTATACGAACTTTAACTGTACGAACATTGATCAAATGAATTCTATGACTTATATATTATTCATTGTGTTTTAAATTTTAAAATATCGCAATTTAAAAACGCGATTCAAAGAGTGGAAGAACAATACGAGAGTGGAAGAATTTTTCACGTTCGACCCGACGTCTTTCTGACCTCGTAAAAGAGATTCCCTGTAGAAAACGATCGCAGGGTCGTTTATCCGGAAGGAAATGAGTAACAAGCAACAAGAAACGATCCGCGGGAAGAATAATGGCGTTCGCGTTTCGTCGAATGACTCGAAAGAGTTCGACGAAGTCGAATTGTTCCGTGCACAGTGTTCTCGTCTCTTTTCTCCATTTTTCTTATGAAGCGGAAACGCGATCGTTTTCTGTTTATTATTTCCGCTGAAATCACGTTACATGCTCCTTTCCGACCGATACGCTGCAACAACGAAGGAATTTAGCGGAAAGTAACATACCGAGATGAAAAATGAATGATTCTTTCGATGAATATATAGGAATTTGTGAAACCAAGTTGACAATTTTTCTGAAGTCGTGTTGAGAAATGATGCTTTCTCGAAAGCTCGTGACAATTTGGAAAGAGTTGAAGAAATTGGAGTTCTTTAATTTTTTTTAAAATTGCTTTCGATCCTACTTAAATATTTAAAAATTAATTTTTAATTATATTTCGATCTTACTTAAATACTTAAATATCTAAAAATTAATCTTCAATTACATTTAAATTGAAATTTAAATGTAATTAATTATATTTGATTTAAAAATTAATGTTTAATTATATTTAAATTTCAATTTTTAATTTCTTCAAATTGTTTTTATCTTCGATCTTCGATTGTATTAAAATTTGTGAGATTCGTTGTAAGCAAGTATGTATGTACATGCGAATTTTGTTCGAGATAAATGAAGGAAATTTAAATTTAAAGTAAAATAATCTTGCGTTGAAAGCTTGCAAAAATTCCGATTTAAAAGGGTTGGAATCCTACTTCCATTATCTTTCGAAATTGTTTTTATCTCGTCCTAAAGTGGAAACCCTTTGCAAACTGAGAAGAAATGTTAAAAAGAACGACAAGTATCCAGGGATAGTGTTCTAAAAGGATTTCAAGCTAGAGGAAGTGTCAGTAAGAAAATATAGATTATAACTCAAATATTTGAAGTGGATCTTCGTAACGTTAGCTAATGTTGTAACAATCAATATTTTTGGAGTATACCGTGTGGTGTCAAAAATACAGATTTAAGTTCAATGATAAATTAAAGTGCAGTCTTGATAGTATAAAATTTGCTGGTGTGTTGAATCTTAAAATTGTTTCACAAGAAACGATATATAATGTCGCGTGGTTTCGAATTGTTTAAATTATTATATTTCCATATTGAATATTAAACAATTTATTATCAGTGTAACAATATTCTACTGTTTTAAATTTTGAAAAGAAATGATTTATCATTTTTTCCTTATGGTGTTGAATCATTGAAAGTCTTGTACTTATATATTCTTATATCGAAAGTTAAACAATTTAGAGTCAACATACCATTTTCTCAAATTTTTGAATTATTTCACTAGAACGAAAGTGATTAATCATGTCTTTTCGTGTGATGTCGAATTATTTAAAATGTTGCGTCTTCATGTTTGGAAATTGAACAATTTAGAATTCATATAACAAATTTTATCGACAAACTAAGTCTATAGAAATAAATTTTCCTCAGTCTTATAGTTAATCTTACAAATTGTAGTTTAATTGTTAGCTACAAAATTTTCATTACCTGCCTTAATTGTAAATCTTTCTTTCGTAGTGCCAAATGCCCCGTCGAAACTTTTGAAATTTATATTCGTATTCGTCTAATTACGAGCCGGCTCAAAATTGAAAACCTTATTCCACGAGTCTTAACTTCCAACGAAATTACGCTTAATTAACCACCTTGTAGCGCAGGTTATATCGCAAACGGAACTCGTGAAACTCGCGTTCACGTTTAAAACTTCGTGTTTTAAAATAAATTGAAACGAAGCGTGTTTTGCCCGAAATTCGAGTTGATCGTTCTTTCCAATATCCCTATATATCACATATCTCAATAGTTTTTTATTTTATTTTTACATGTTACAAGAATTTTTTTCTTTTTATTTTTTTCATCTGTTGTATCAGTGAATGAAGGATATATTTCAAAACCTTGACAGTTCAATTTTTGCTGAAACTGTGACCTTTCGCATTTTACGAAAATACCATCATAACGAAGATTTCGACAAGAAAATTGACACTAAGCTACAAATTTAAGAATTTAAAGATTAACAATCAAACTCAATTGTAAAATACTCTTGCATTATAATTATTCGTGGAACTGAAATACATGTTGTTTCATTTCCCTTTCGTAGTTTTACAGTGTCATTTGTTACATAAAAATCCTTAAACCAATTTCTGGCAAAAGTTGGAGAAACGAATTACAAAATGAAGTTGAATTAGATATATTAGAGATAGTTGGAGATTGGATATTATATAATTAGAAATATTAAACATTTCACATTCCGTCCCTAGCCTAATTGAAACATTCTGTCTCATTCTGCCTCGTCAGCAGTATAGATATTAGTATTGACCAAAGATAGAACAGAGCGTACATTAAATGGAACTTCGTGTCTCAAGGTCCGATATAACGACCAGGAAAAAAAATTACTGGTTTTCAGCGCAACGATGAGTTGAAGAACTAAACCAAAGTAAAATGATCAAGCAAAATGGAATTACGTTACGATGTTGTCTTGAAATCCCAAGACACGAAATCAATATCTAAAATTGTACCATTTTATATTGTCTGTTTATACGTGTATCAAAAAAAGTTCTATCCGTGTTTTAGGAATTTATTATCGACGTAGAGTATTGAAATTTTAAATTCCAAGTTCTAAAAAAAAAAAAGAAACATTGTTACACATTTTAATTTTATATAACCATCGTTGGTAATTTTTAAAGTAATTACTCAAAAGTAATTTTTCACTAACTGAACTTTTCAATTACTTTTCAAAATTATTTGGACTTCTGAATATAAAAGAAATATAAATATAAAGGTATAGAATCTTAGCTTCGAGAATTCATCACTCGAGAACAGATCGATTATGAAATCCACTATGTATAAAATAAGAATAGAAGCAGCTAACGATTTGCGGAAATTTTTTTACGTCCGACCATACGTTGACTCGTAACACTTATCCACTCACACGTTGACCTATACTACTTGTCTATCCATACGTTGACTTATACCACTGAGTCCTTAAAACATAGGAAACGAAAAAACTGAACTGGATGTCCGGTCTATCCTAGTTAGTCAATGAAATTAGCTCACAGTAGAGTATACCGTTAATGGTCAGGCGGCTCGTCGAAATCGTTCGTGTTCGTTCCAATTTGCGTTCACACGCTTCAACGACTTTATTTCCATAGCTTTCCTCGCGCGTTGTTTCACCACTTTATTTCCATAACATGGACACGTTTTGTTGTCAAAAAGAAAGAGAGAGAGAGAGAGAGAGAAATTAACGACAGGAAAATGAAACGATTTATAGAAACGCAGCCCACTCTTTCGCGTGTGCCAGCTACGTTGCGGAATTTAGTGAAACGGTTCTAATTAGCGTAAATTGAGGACCGACGGGGGAGCAACTTCTCGCGGAAAAGAGGTTTCATAAGCTCCGGCTGTGCTGTTTGTCTAGCGACTTGGACAAACCTTGGCGAGTTTCGCTTGCGCCGCGCGATTCAATGGAGCCGACTGAAAGCGCTGCTCTAAAGGGGCTCGTGGAATGTTTCTCGTCGAAAAATCACTCGAAAATCTCGTCTAATTATCGTTTACCGTTAAACGAATTACCGAGCGTAACAGCTGAGACCAGTGTTGTACAAATCTGCGACACTCCATGTCGAGATCTTCGCAATTTTCGCTAATGACGACAACTTGATACTCTACTGCCAATGACTGGTCCATACTGGTATTAAATTAATGAAACGTTAATTTTTGTATAACACGATAATACGTAGTTTCACATCGTATGGGGATTTTTGGTACATTAAAATGAAAAACTTGAGATTGCATCCAGTATATCTTCTATCCAATAAGATATTTGCAGAATGATACTGAGTAAAAGTATAGTGAAACTTCATTTGACGAGCCTCGAACTTGTAACTGATCAACTTTGGTTATTCTCCTTGTAGAAAATTTTAAATTCATTTGAAATAAATCCAGCTATTTATACAAAAATCTATTAATATTACAACACTTTGGAAGAAAAATGAGAAGACACCGAAAAATTACGTTACAAATTACGCGAGTACTTTATACATTAGAGGTGTGTGAGATTGCTTCCAATTTTCTCGTAGCTTGAAATTCTGTCTCACTACAACCAGAACTCTCCTTTATTTTTTTGAAAATAAAGTAAGAATGTTCGAAAGAATGTACTTTTAAAAATAAAATATTTTATTTTACGTTTAAAATATTTACTTTCGTACGTTAACTTTAGATTATTAAAATAAAATATTTAATATAAGAGAAGAAAAATTACCAGTCAACCAATTTCAAATCTAAGAACTGGCAAGTAATTGTAAATAATTCATTTGAAATTTTCGAGACATTGGCGAAATACAAATACAAAAAACAGAAAAAAAGAAAGAGTAAAATTTTTAAAAAACGGACGTACGAACGTCCATAAATTGAAACAATTGTACGATATTATAGGAAATTGAATCAACATCTGTACAGCCAATTAAATCCGAAATGAGCTACGTCAATGATACTAAACTATAAAACATCCAAGTCTTACCATTCCACTCCTTCCCGTTGTACACTCCCGCTCTTAAATAATAAATCGCCGGTGTCTGTTTAAACTTCCCTCGTCGCTCGAAACTAGCAAACGAAGAGAAACAAAGGAGCAGCCTGGTATCAAAGAAGACAGCGAAGACAGGTTAAGAATGATAAAGACACTTGATGCTCGCGGAATATTTTCACCGGCGGCCGTTTTCGAACAAAGAGGTCGAACAATCTAGTTATAAAGTTCCCCTCGAAAACGGGGAAACGTCAAATTGATAACGAAAAACGCGGTTGTACGTTCAACCTCGCGGATTGTCGCGCGAACAAACTTGCCGCCCCTGCAACGGAGTACAATGATACGCGTTTAAAAACAATGTTTCAGCTGGAGCAGTTGTACATAGAAGTCCTCTACACGGTCGCCAACACTGTGGGCGCCAGCACCGGACAATACGCCCACTACAAAGAGGATCTTTATAGATACGCGCAGGAAGCGTTCGGAGTCCCGCAGGATCAACATCGACGATACCTGAACATCGCATCGGAAGAGAAAGTATGACTTACGCTTCTTTCTTGTCTCTACTAGATACGTTATTAATTTCTTCACGTTTATTAATTTTATTTCGATGCGTTCGCGTTTGATCAGAGCTGGGTAAAATATACTATTTTAAAATGGTAAATGGGTATTTTATTTTATATCATGCGTGTATTTTTTGAAAACGAGGTAAGAATGTTCGAAAGAATGTACTTTTAAAAATAAAATATTTTACTTTACGTTTAAAATTATTTATTTTCATACGTTAGCTTTAGATTATTAAAATAAAATATTTTATTTGTTGAAATTTTATTTGTCCTATTTGAAATACTATTTTATTTGAATTGTGAGGATTTAAATTATTTAAAATAGTATTTAAAATATATTTTCTCTATAAATGTTACCTAGCTCTGAATTTGACGCATGGTCAAATGTCGTTTCATACCATCAAACTTTAATCCTCTTGCGCTGGAATGACGTGCCATGCACGTCAAGAATTTTTTGTCCCAAATTGCAACATTTTCTCAGTTTTTAAGTATATTTAAACGTAAAAAAGAAAACAGAAAGCGGGGAATTATTGTATACGGTTCAGTCACTCGTTATGGTCCATGGTGCGAACCAGTTGCCAGCGCAAGGGATTAATCGCACGTGGTTCCTTTGGGAATCAAAGTATCAGGGATACCCATAAATAATTTCATTTTTTTTTTTTTTTTTGACAAAATTTTATTTCATTTAAGAATTAATGCAATTTTAATCTGTAATATAATTTAACACACTGAATGTCAAATACATAAATTATGTTGTAATAAGTTAAATTATTGTCACTGGGTAGATAATAATGTTTATTAAATATTTGGAAAAATATAACACTTATAATATAATTTAATATATAAAATATTTTCTTGCAATTGCTTCGAAATTAAGTTGCCCAGATGGAACAGAAAATATATTTAACCTTCTCCAAATGATAAATTTACGCTCGTGGAAACTTTCCAAATGCATCTTCTCCAAGTTTAATTTATTTATCGTGAGAGAATTGCCAGAGAATATTTTAATTTTAGACTAACGTCGCAATCGCTGAAACTTCGCAAGATTGAACATACGTGATTCATGGTGAATGTCTTCTTGCATAATTCAATGAAACGACGCACGTAGCCTGAGATGTTTATTATCGTAGAACGATGTGACACGAATGCGAATGAAACATATCATTGCGAGCAACTGCATATCAGAAGTAATCCATTTGCACGTCGATGTTCAAACAGAATCGCATTGCGACTGCAGTATACTGTTTACAGTCACAATGTTTATTCGTTGCACCACGTACAAGTGGGATGTTATTTAATTATCTCTCTGGCCGGTGATCGCGTTTTTTTCATTACCTCGATTTTCAATGCTCGCTTGCCAAAATGGTTGTCACATTTTTCTTTCTTTTTTTTTTTTTCCAGCCCCCGATCGTCGTGCTGAGCGTGGTGGTTGTCGAAGCTGAGGGACTAGAAGCGAAAGACGCGAACGGTGAGCATTTGTTTTCGGGTGTTTCGCGTTTAATCATGCAACGCAAGTTCAACGAAGAGTCTACTGAAACGCGAATGAATTTTCCATTGAACTACGAGCATGAATTATCGGTAGATGTCATAAATTCTGACGGTGGCATCAAGCGATGCATCGCCTTGGCCCTCGGCCCCCAATCTTCTCAATATTTCACAGCCGTTTGCATGATGACGGATTAAATAATTGCAAAGACGGTTTCACCCTTAATCTATCTCGATCGCTGGGAAATGATCGATATCGCGCAATGCATCATCTTCACGGGGAATTTAAATACATCTTTTATATCCCATCCGCTCGGAAATGTCGTTCAGTGGTTATCCTCTCTTTTCTTGTTATTTTTCTTCGCGAAACGTATCTATCTTGTACGTGCAAAGAAGTATTTACATTCTTTTGGCAGGTAAGAATCAGAGTACAGAGTAAACAATAGTGGTAAATCTTGGGAATTTCCATACGATTATCGACAATCCTGATCTGCTCCTTATGTTTAACGTAGACCGCGAATTTTCATATTTATATTTATATTATACTATTATATTTAATTTTGTAGCAGTGTTTTAAATATAATTAAAATTAATTGTAATATATAATTAATAATATAAATTTTAAATATAATTATTATATTTAATTTGTGTAGTAATTAAAAAATGGAACCTAGATAGAATTTGATTTTATCTCTTCGTATTCTATGATTTTGTTTTACGTTCATTTTTACAAACGACAATTGCTCACGAATGCATAAAGATCCGCAATCTGTCAATATTATCGTCAGGATTTTAGAAGATTATTAAAATTTTCAGTAGATTGCGGATGTTTATGCAAATTCACGTTCGTATGGGCACAGCTAAAATGGAAGAGGAAGTCAAAAAGAAATTTGTTTCATTTACAAATATTTAAATATTGATATGAATATTCACGTAGATTTTAGATGTTTCACATATTTTGTGTATTTTTGTACGTTCAAATTTTTCATAAAATTGTGAGCGTAAAAATCCGCAGTTTTATACCGAGAATAAAAATAATAATACCCGTGAATTCCGCATAACAGCTTGCAACAATAATAACGCGCAACAATAATACAGCTACGAGAGAATTTCAAACAGAAAAATATTTCAAAATCTTCGCGAAATAATCCCCAATGTATAACGTGCGTCAACAAAAATTCATTTTGCAAATATTATTAGTAAATTGAGATATTTTACAGGTCAGAGTGTATATTTCACAGGACAAGAATCTTCTATTTTGTTAGTTATATCTTTCGAAGATCATAGTACGATTTTAATACGATAAATTACACCTGGATTTTAATACGAAGAATGTCGTAATAATAAATTAGGTCAGAGTGATTCTACAGCTCAGTAGAACGACAAAATTGCGATACGGGATTTATTTTTCGGGGAAACATGTTTGAAAATTGAGCACTCGTGCACTAAGCTAATAATCGTCATTGCGGATTTTACTGCAGACCTTGCTCTGCAGAGTTAAATCAAAAGTTGCATATCTGCAACTTTCGCTCGAATCGCAAGTCATTAAAGCACAAAAGTATTTTATCTGCATATAGATTCTTAACCACGTTAAGAAATTCTTAACTACGTATTTGGTACTAAAAAATTTTAAAAAATTACAAAATTTAAAGAATTTAAAAAATTCAGAGAACATAATTTTCATGAAAAATTTACAATGAACAATTTCTGTTGATTAAACCTAATTTTCTGAAGTGTGAAAGACATCTAAAGGTCATAGTATAGTAGGTCGTTGAATTCGTTCTCTCAGAAGCAGCAATCCTGCGAAGTCAAAAATACACGGTGCCGGTTTATAAAAAATCAACTTGATTTTTTATCGAAAGAAAAAGTTTTTTTGAAATTTTTGATATTGTACTTTGTAGCCAACTGGAAACTGATTAATTTTTGTTCGAAACATTTCTTTTGTCGCACAATCAGAAGTGCCTGAAAAATCGTGGCCACACCCTGTATATGAAATTTAAATCACACTTGATCGTTAAATTCGAAAGTCTCTTCTCTAAAATTATTTCAGCCAAATCTTTCACCTTTCGCAATTAACACAGCAACGCTACGAGTATTTTTTTTTTTTTTTTTTTTTATTTCATCAGTTCATTTTTTCTTACCTATTGACGAGAAATTTCACGATTAATGAAATCCACACGCTCAAATGAATCGATTTTCCAAACGAAGCTCACAACGCAGTTTCGTCGTCCTTTTCACCTTCCAGCTCCGAGCCATGGAACCACCCTGACCCAATTCGCGACCATGATTTACGACCCTTTACCCCTGCACAGTCTTGCCGCTCGTTTTTCTAATTACGAGAGTCGTTAGGCTCTGAGTGTTCGCCGGAGGTGAGGTTACACTGAACGAGATATTCTGCATATGTCCTCCAGGATTCAGCGACCCTTACTGCATGCTAGGAATTCAACCGGGCAACACGGGCGCGCCGTTGAGCCCGCAGACGAATTTAACGGCGCACTCGCCGCACACGCCGCCAGCATCACCGAGGCAAGCGACTCGCGCCCTTTCCGACGGCGGTGAAACTGAGAATTCTCATCACGAGAAATTACGGAAGCATCATAGGTAAGTGTCTCGCGGCTCTCGGGCTCAGATGTTTCTAAATTCGGCGGCTGATTCGGTGAAAACTGCAAAATTTATCAGCTGTTCGTTGTTCGTTCTCTCGATGAAACCAGTTGCTACCTCGTATGTGAATCACCTAAACACAGATTTAGATTTTTACCTCGCGCTTCGAGAGTAGATACTATACATAAGCGTGTCAAGATCGTCGATCTGTCAGTGACTTATTTTTAGGCGCTTTATTTGCCTATTCTCGACAAAGTGATTTCTGAGTTACGAAATTACTGATGAACTCAAACTTTATTCTCTTTGATCATCAACAATATGGCCAATTAATTCATTTTTAATATTCAGTGTACAATAATAAATTCAATGATAATCAATAATTATCAAGTTTCACAGAAATTATACCGTTACTTAAGAATTTTCATAAAAAAATCCATAATCGATTGATTTATGTGGTTTATCGAATATTTCAATATTGTAATACTCTATTGAGAAACATTTGAATATATATTTCATTGAATATTATCTCTATTTAATATTGAGATTGTTAATATATTAATATTGAGATTGTTAATATATTATATATAATGGTTGTACGAAATGTCGAACTTTAAGATTGAAGGGTGTAGCACGAAACGTCGAGTTTTATCACTGTGGATGTTGGGAATTTTATTTAAGATTGGATAACGTTCGATAGGAATTGATAGTTTGATCCGTGTATATTTATATAGATTGTATGTAACGATAACTGAATAAAACTCATGTATTCAAATGGATAACTCGATAGCTCAGTTCTCCAAACATACCTTTCAGTAACTCCAAACGTACCTAGTTTGCTAAAAATACTATATTTGTATTCTACAGGTGTAAATAATAATTTAACAATCTAATTTAAAACTAGATAGTATCTATTAAGAGCTTTCTCTAATTAACTCTTATCTCTTGAAATAATCCCTCCGAATATTCTACCAGTCAAAGCTTCAACAGTTCTCGTTCTTAATTGTTATTATTTTCATTATCAACAATGAAACTAATATCTATGAAAATCTGAATATTTCTGTATCAAATAATGCAATCGTCATAATCTTCTTCGAAAATCTCACCACTTAAATTAAAACTTTGATACTTCTTATTCCCAATTATTGCCTTTCTTCCTTGATATTCAATGAAAATGAAGTCTTTGAAATCAGATGTTGATCTGTAGAATCTAAATTAATATTTCTGTATCAAATTACATAATCTCCATGATCTTTCGCCATTTAAATTTAAACTCGAATATTTCAAACAATTTTTCATTATCTTTAAATATCCTTAAAATATCATAATATAGATGTTAATAATAGAGATCGTAATCTTTAAAATAATCAAATCAATCTACAGAAATCTAAATCAATATTTCTACATGGAATACCAAATATTTCTATATTATATGTATTTCTACATCAAATCACAAATTTCTATATCAAATGTGTTCCACATCATATTCTATATTACGTAGTATGGAAATATACTCCAAATTTTAAATCAGTATTTCTATATCAAATTCTACATTAAAAATACCAAACTTCTCTATTGAATACATTCCTGTGTTAAATTTCTATAATTATATATCAAACGCCAATATATTTCTATACTAAATATATTTCTACATTAAATCAGACGAAATTTCTGTATCAAATGTGCTCCACATCATGTTCTATATTACCTAATATAGAAATATATTCTAAATTTTAAATCAGTATTTCTATATCAAATTCTACATTAAAAATACCAAACTTTTCTATTAAATACATTCCTGTGTCAAATTTCTATAATTATATATCAAACGCCAATATATTTCTATACTAAATATATTTCTACATTAAATCAGACGAAATTTCTGTATCAAATGTACTCTACATCATATTCTATATTACCCAGTAGAAATATTCTAAATTTTATATAAACCCAGAATATATAAATAGTCTAAATTTTAAATCAGTATTTCTACATATCAAATTCTACATTAAAAATACCAGACTTCTCTATTAAATACAAATGTATTTAAAATAAAATGTACATTTTTGTGTGTCAAATTTCTATAATTATATATCAAACGCCACT